AAAAAAACGACATAGTATAGTAAGGCGATTTTAGTCGAAATAAACGACCATGTATCGTAAGGCATTTTTAGCCGAAAAAAACGACATAGTATAGTAAGGCGTTTTTAGCACGAAAAAAACGACCATGTATAGTAAGGCATTTTTAGCCGAAATAAACGCCCATGTATAGTAAGGCATTTTTAGCCGAAAAAAACGACATAGTATAGTAAGGCGTTTTTAGCACGAAAAAAACGACCATGTATAGTAAGGCATTTAGCCGAAATTTTTAGCCGAATAAAATGACGTAAGGCATTTTTAGCCGAAAAAAACGACATAGTATAGTAAGGTGTTTTTAGCACGAAAAAAAACGACATCGTATAGTAAGGCATTTTTAGCCGAAAAAAACGACATAGTATATCGTAAGCCGTTTTTAGCCGAAAAAAACGACATAGTAGTCAGCCGTTTTTCGCTGAAAATAACGACATCGTATAGTAAGGCGATTTTAGCACGAAAAAAACGACACAGTATAGTAAGGCATTTTGAGCCGAAAAAAACGACCACAATGTATAGCAAGGCGTTTTTAGCCGAAAAAAAAGAACATGTATAGTAAGGTGTTTTCAGCCAAAAAAAAAAAAAACGACCATGTGTTGTCAGGCGTTTTTACAGCCCACAACACGACCATGTATCGTAAGGTGTTTTTTTAGTTTTTTCAACCTGATCAAAACATCTCTTGGTCATCAAGTTAACATCTGAACATTCAAATGCCACACAGGAAGGCCGGAGCTGGATTTGAACCCCGCACTTCAACGATGGGAAGCTGACGCACCTACCAGTTGGCCACCGGGTTGTCTTCTTCCCACTGACTTTTTTTGCTACTCGACTGGAACGCACTTGGTTATTTGTCACATCCTTAAAATATTAAATTAAAGTGTTCCATTAACCTGCCGTCCATGTTTTTGGGGTGTGGGAGAATTCCTGGAGTTCTTGGAAAACCCACATGCAGTTGCCACACAGGTAGGCCGTTGCTGGATTTGAACACTGCACCTCAGCGCTGGGAAGCCGACGCACTGACCATGAGGCTACGGGCCTCTCAATGGAACTTAGTATATTTCTGGGATAGATTTCTCTGAAGGCCAATGTGAGCAAATGTCTTGATATTTCAACAAAAAATAAAACGACCATGTACAGGAAGGCATTTTGAGCCGAAAAAATGACCATATATAGGAAGGCGTTTTTATCCGAAAAAAACGACATACTATAGTAAGGCATTTTTAGCCGAAAAAAAACGACCATGTATCGTCAGCAGTTTTTAGCTGAAAAAAAAGATATAGTATACTAAGGCGTTTTTCGCACGAAAAAAACGACATAGTATTTCGTAAGCCGTTTTTAGCCGAAAAAAAACGACATCGTATAGTAAGGCGTTTTTAGCACGAAAAAAACGACATAGTATACTAAGGCGTTTTTAGCACGAAAAAAACGACAAGAGTATATATAGTAAGGCATTTTGAGCCGAAAAAAACGACCACGTATAGTAAGGTGTTTTTAGCCGAAAAAAAACGACATAGTATAGTAAGGCGTTTTTGGCACGAAAAAAACGACATCGTATAGTAAGGCGTTTTTAGCACGAAAAAAACGACATAGTATACTAAGGCGTTTTTAGCACGAAAAAAACGACAAGAGTATAGTAAGGCGTTTTTGGCACGAAAAAAACGACATCGTATAGTAAGGCGTTTTTAGCACGAAAAAAACGACATAGTATACTAAGGCGTTTTTAGCACGAAAAAAACGACAAGAGTATAGTAAGGCGTTTTTGGCACGAAAAAAACGACATCGTATAGTAAGGCGTTTTTAGCACGAAAAAAACGACATAGTATACTAAGGCGTTTTTAGCACGAAAAAAACGACAAGAGTATAGTAAGGCGTTTTTGGCACGAAAAAAACGACATCGTATAGTAAGGCGTTTTTAGCACGAAAAAAACGACATAGTATACTAAGGCGTTTTTAGCACGAAAAAAACGACAAGAGTATAGTAAGGCGTTTTTGGCACGAAAAAAACGACATCGTATAGTAAGGCGTTTTTAGCACGAAAAAAACGACATAGTATACTAAGGCGTTTTTAGCACGAAAAAAACGACAAGAGTATAGTAAGGCGTTTTTGGCACGAAAAAAACGACATCGTATAGTAAGGCGTTTTTAGCACGAAAAAAACGACATAGTATACTAAGGCGTTTTTAGCACGAAAAAAACGACAAGAGTATAGTAAGGCGTTTTTGGCACGAAAAAAACGACATCGTATAGTAAGGCGTTTTTAGCACGAAAAAAACGACATAGTATACTAAGGCGTTTTTAGCACGAAAAAAACGACAAGAGTATAGTAAGGCGTTTTTGGCACGAAAAAAACGACATCGTATAGTAAGGCGTTTTTAGCACGAAAAAAACGACATAGTATACTAAGGCGTTTTTAGCACGAAAAAAACGACAAGAGTATAGTAAGGCGTTTTTGGCACGAAAAAAACGACATCGTATAGTAAGGCGTTTTTAGCACGAAAAAAACGACATAGTATACTAAGGCGTTTTTAGCACGAAAAAAACGACAAGAGTATATATAGTAAGGCATTTTGAGCCGAAAAAAACGACCACGTATAGTAAGGTGTTTTTAGCCGAAAAAAACGACATAGTATCGTAAGGCATTTTTAGCCGAAAAAAACGACCATGTATAGTAAGGCGTTTTTCACCGAAAAAAACAACCATGTATAGGAAGGCGTTTTTAGCCGAAAAAACGACCATGTATAGGAAGGCGTTTTTCGTCGAAATAAACGACCATGTATCTGTCTGTCTGTTTTATACATGTCAGCAATACATGTGTGGACCTGAGGTGGTTTTTAATATGCCCTTGGAGGCATGAAACAGCCAGACTCCAATGTCTCCTTTTCTTCTTAATGAGTAATTGCCAAGATGCTCTGCAAGTGGGAATCTTTATCAAGTTTGGGACTGTTTTAGTGGCCCGGGGGGCTTGGATTGGGGGGTTTTAAAAGCTTTGCATGAAATATTCACACGCACCCAGTTTAGGTCTTTATTTCCTCTGCCAATTGCAAGTTGAGGATCTCAATATTACCTTGATCAACAATGGGAAAAACAAGCAATGAATTGCCTATTTTGTTATTAATGAGATTGGAACATCTCATTTAGAATGTTCTCAATTTATGTTTCGATAGCACATATCTATCCTTCGATAGCTAACATTATTTAAGCAGAGTACTGTACACAAAAACTGATTTCCAAAATCTCAACAGATTTTAATTAATTTATTCATTTTTTTTTTTTTTCCATGAGATGTCACACGTGGTCAGTCAAAAATGGACAAATGTACCGTGTGGTTGATACTTAAAGCACATTTCACACAGATGGTAACTCAATGTGCTCTACATGATTGAAATGTCAACCTATAAAAGTATTTTAAAAACAAAAGGATTGAAGGACATTTCAAAACATCAAAACAGAAGTAAGACAGCTTCTAAACTAAACTAAAATTGCGAATATAATGTCGAGTGCAAGAGAGAAACCAACCGGTCTCATTGTTTTGCAAAACATTTCCACATTCTTGTAGCGTCGTACGGTTGCATGCCACGGTGCGCTACATATCTGGTGATTCTGAAAATTTCTGGAGAAAATTGGACCTATAACAGTTGCAGCATTCAAATGTCTATGGCATTTTTTTTTTTTTTTAATGGACAGCAGTGACTTGTCAGCGCTAATGATTTACAAAAAGATCTTCATAAATAGCAAGGAATCATACACTTTTATGATCGGCCAAGAGGTCACAGAGAGCCTGTGCTTTCAACATTTATAGTCGCTCCTTTAAAATGTCGTGAGGACGGATGAGGCGATGTCAAAATACAGCAGACACCAGGAGCAAGCTAGATTTTTTTTTTTTTTGGTTGTCCTGATGTACAAAAAATAGACAATCAACCCTGAACCTTACGGCAAAGTGTTCGGTGCAAATGACAACTGTCAGAAGTCCGCAGAGTCTGTGATCTTAATCTGCAATCACGATGGCATTAGGCGGGTGAGCTCAGTATCCCGCGGCGTACCCCGACTTGCGATAGTCCGACTGAGCGTGGAGTCCGTCCTTGTGGCGGACCACCGCCTGCACCACGGCTGAGGACTTGAGGAATTCCGTCTCGTGGTTCTTCTTCGCCAGACCCTCTATGATGTCCTGCCAAGACAAGAAAGGTGTCAAGAAAACAAGACACTTGCTGTATTCTTTCATCTTCAACATATTGAAATAATTTTACGACACCGTTTTATACAATAAAACAGTTTTTGGTTTCCCCGATGGTTTTAAGGGGGGCAGTTTGTGGCTGCCGGGCCATATTTTCCCCATCCCCGAGAGTGAATGTATAACGGCAGGAAGGATTTGAGACAGGAACTGTTCAGTACTGGCTGACTTTCCCTTCCTTTTACTTTTTTCCCCATTCACGAGTCTCACTTTGTCAAAGTCCGACTCGAAGAGAGTGGTGGAGGGACTCAGCTGGTTGTGGAGCCTCGGGTCAGCTACGGCTCTCTTCAGGTCGTAGTCGAAGAACAGGGCCTTCATGATCACCTGGGACGCACGTAATCATTTCAATCATTTTCAACGCAGAGTTCCCAATATTGTCACACAGAAAATGAATGTCTTCTTTGATGGTTACCTGGGCGATGGCGGTTGTGATCATGGTACCACCAGAGGCGCCCACAACCATCTTCACTTGGCGATCTTTGTCGAAGAGGATGGTTGGACACATGGAAGACATTGGCCTTTTCCCTTTGAACGGCATCAAACAGAAGCACAGTATATTGATTATCGAACCCAGACGTGTGACATTAGTTTGGAATAGATGGAGCTCGTCAGGAAGCCGCACAGAGGAGAAAGGATATGGGCCTGTTAATTAACCTGGCCTGATGAAGTTATTCGGCGATGGAGGCACCCCGAAGCCGTTTGTGATGAGCGGGGAGCTGAAGTCATCCATCTCGTTGTTGAGGATGATCCCCGTTGACCTTGACATCACTTTGGAGCCAAAACTGCGGGGCCGGAAGTAAAGCGACAAAACATTCGACTTGCGCACGGTCACGGTTTCAAAGCTCCGCTGCGAGATCGTACTATTGGTTGATGGTACTGGTGGCCGCCACGGCGCTGCCGTCCTCCGCCACCACAGAGAGGTGCGAGGTGCCGTTGTCATCGGGGAGGTAAAACTCCGGCTCATAGTAGCTCATGTTATGAGTTGTCCAGTCTGTAATCTTTCCCCGGAGATAATCGGCATAGGATTGCGAGGTGATGTTCTGAATGAGCTTAAAAAAAGAGAGAAAAAAAATGTTTAAAAATCAATTTTTACAAAGGAAATCAAAAACCCGTAAAGCAGGTTGACTATCGTAAATGTTATACCTGTTCAATATTTATGAGAGCAAATCCTTGAGTGGAGCCAACACTAAATTTGGGGTGGGAGGACATTATGGAGAAAAACGTAACAATTGTCCTAATGAATCGTCTTAATAGTACACTACTGACGAAGGATAAAGAGTAACCGTGTTTCAAAGTACTACATAATAAGTGTGACTCATTGACTTCGGGTAAACGATTGAGAAGGACACATACGGCGTGGGAGGGGCTTTGAATGATTGACAGGGTGCTTACATTGGTGATGTTGAGGAAGGCCGGATCGCCGAGCAAGGTCCTCTTTGCGTAGGTGAAGCGAAAGGCCTCCGTAAGACGGTGGTACGTCAGGATCTTGTTCTCGGTGCTCGCCACGCTGTCAGCGCTTAAATTGTACCCTGTGGAAAGCGTTTTACAGGGGAAAAAAAAAATGGCAGCTCAAAACGTTGCGTCCAGGAAAGAACACCAGGGGGCGCTGTTTTCTGTTTCAGGGAGCTCGTGTCCCAGGGGTTACCGGGTGTAAGTTAAAAAATGTAATTTGCTCGTGAGTGTCTTGTTCGCTTTTTTTTTTTTACGTCGCTGATGATATCGTTGACGGATGTCGTTCAATTTCTTTTTTTCCCAAGAGTCTTTCTCACTCCGAGCGAGCGGCTGGCAAAAAGCAAAAGCGGCTGACGTGAAAAAGCATCCTCTCCCACACAAGGTGCTTTTTTTGGACAGAGCATTCAAAGGTTTACCATCCAAGATGTTTAATATCAGCGAGAGCACAGGGCCGCTGGCGGGGGCGTTTGGAGCAGCCATGGTGTACTCCCCCACGTTCACGCTCAAAGGCTCCTCATCCAAGACGGGCGCATAATCCCTCAGATCCTCCATTGTGATGATTCCGCCTATGCAGGGGAGAGACAAACACCGTCAATGCACTTGGACTCAATCTGGGATACAAATCCGTCACGGGAGTAAAATTAGACGCCTGTAGAGACGGGAGCAGTTTGCTTTAGAATTTTCACGTACTCGAATCAACAAAGTGAAAGGATTGGAAGTGACCTGCTGCCTGAATATCTGCCACCAGATCGGTTGCGATTTCTCCATGGTAAAAAGTGTCAGCGCCCCCTTCCGCTATTTTCCTGTAGGTGTCGGCAAGTTTGGGAAACCGAACGGTGTCGTTTTCTTTCAGGACATCGACACCGCCGCTGCGACAGAAAACCTCACTGCAAGACAAACGATGTTTCGCTTTGAAAGTTGAAAATAAGCGTCATGACGATTTTCCTGTCTCACCACAAGGCTGGATCCTTGATGATGGTTTCCTTATGTTTGGCCAGAGCGACGGCGAGCGGCCTGCCTATAGGAAATCCTTTCTCCGCCAGATCAATGCTCGGCGCGAACAAATCCTTCCAAGGAAGTTTGCCGTGACGCTTGTGAGCCAGCTCGTAACCTCGAATCTCTCCCGGAACAGCGACGGATAAACCTCCTATCGGGCCATAAAACCAGCAGAATGGATCATTTTATGACCTAATTATGTGAAAGATGAGAGATGTGAGCAAATGATAAAAGTTGGAAGCGTGACACTATTTCTTAGCGGATCAAACTCCATCAACGAAGGCAATGTGTTTCTCATTTGAGAGATAATTATTATCCTTTAGCTATTTTAATTAAAGACAGATACTTATAATAATAATTGCTACGCTATTAATATTAATTTTAGAGTGTTTTTTTTTAAATTATATCTATAGCACCCTTCAGTATAAGATATCAGGTCTTTGCTGCGATATTGTTATGCTTTCCCAGTGTAATCAATCTAAAGTCTCTCATTGGATTTCTTTCCAGCTTGGTTTTAACAAATGGTTTCATCGCCCCTGAAGTTGGAGTATTTGTAGACCCCAAAGTACCTCTCTGGGACAAATCAGTGCTGTTTCCAAACATGTTCTCGGTTGCATTGCGAGGCGCCGTCTCCCGAGCGTCGATGGTTTCCACCGTGCCTGCGCGTGTTGCAAGCGAGAGCGTCGTTATTACGGGCGCGCAGCGCGCGCGAGGAAGTTATTAAAATGTTGCTGTTCCAAGTGAATTGGCAGCGTACCGCTTGTTGCGTTGTAGATGGTGATGAAAAGCCCTCCCCCGATGCCCATACTGTGAGCGTTCATCAGGCCGACACACAGCAAAGCTGCGATGCAGCCATCCACTGCCGAGCCTCCTTTCTTCAGTGTGTCACTGTTGAAAAGCAAGCAAATAAGGTTTTCGTTTTAGTACTACAGTCATGCCTTGAGAAACCAGTGCAACAGTTCAACACTGTTGGTCCATCTATCTGCATTTTGCAGCTGTTGCGTGCATGCGCAACTCATTTACATGTTGCCCGAGCGCGATGCTAAGCCACGTACACTGTTTCCGTACAAGTCATGGAAGCGTGACAAAGGGCTCTCTCATCCTCTCAGGGTAGTCTTGTGTGTGATGCATATAATTAGATCTTCTACTATGGATCCACTGGATGTCATTAGATTATTATGGGGAATGAAAGTGTATACAGTCCACTACTGTATAGACTGCTTATGGTATAGTAAAGCCTGAGCTGTGTTACATTCATGTGTGTGAATCGCGTCATGCGAGGGAATTAATAGCAGTCAGTGATGGATGGTTCCTTCACCTGACTTTTTTGGGGGTTGGTTTATTTCTCACTGAATGCAAGCCACTTAATCCTCGCGGGTCACAAGGGGTGCTGGAGTCTATCCTAGCTGTCTTCGGTCAGTACGCGGGGCGGGGTGCACCCTGAACTGGTTGCCAGCCAATCGCAGGGCACACAAAGACCAACAACTATTCATACTCACAATCACACCTAGGGACAATATAGAGTGCTCAATTAACCTACCATGCATGTTTTTAGATTGTGGGAGGAAACCGGAATACCCAGAGAAAACCCACTCAGGCCCAGGAAGAACATGGAAACTGCACACAGGAAGTGCTCATGCTCTCTCTCTCTCGCTCGCTCTCTAGCATGCGTTCTTGCCTGCCAATCACCGAGCACGGTCCAGCGTCCGCCGCCACGGCCGCCCTCGAGTACACGTGGTCGCTCGGGCGGGTTTTCCTGTCCACGCCGAAGTAGACGCCCACAAATATGGCCGCGGCCGCCAGCAGCAGCAGCGTTACTGCCAGCACGATCGTCACCCTCACCATTTTGGCGCGATTGAGAATGCTGCAATCTGGAAATAGGGTTCATTTTTTTTCTTACTGTCACTTCAACAGAAATACAGTAATACCTTTCTCCTTTTTTTTTTCGAACAAGTGTTAGAGGTCAATCTTTCATTCAGTCTCCTGCCATCAATCAGGACGTACAAATTATTTTCGGACAGAACAATCCATCAAAAAAAAAAAACAAAAAACAAATCATTAATTCTAACTTGAGTCTCCACTTTAGTTTATCTGATTGTATTTCTTTTTTGTGGGCGGAGGGGGTTTAAAATGACACCAAGTGATGCACTTGGGAATCCGACATGAGTCACCCCTTCTCCACCAGAAGAATTCGAGCTGCTCAGTGACATAATTGGGCGACCGGTCGGTTAGGTACCCGCCAATGAGTATAAATTGGCTTTCAAGCTCCTTTTATGAGTCCAGCGGTCACCAGCTATGTGTGTTGGACCATAATGATCGAAAATACAGAAACAAACGAGGCTGTAATTTTCCACATGTGTTTTAATGTTCATCAGATGATCAATCTTATTGTTATGTAATTTGTCACTTAACGAACTTACGACAAGGTTTTGACATTTTTTTTTTTTTTGGTAACAGCATAACTATACATTCTCTAAGATTCGATTGTTTGCATTTCAAAGGATGGCAATCAGTGAGTGTGATGTGGTCTTACCTCGACGTGTGTGAGGGTCCTCTGCAACAAATGGCTTGCTCTTCGTCGTTATGTTGGCCACATCCTGCAAACCAGGTGATATGCGACGCTCATTCACTGTGGCTTTTCAATATGTAACTATCACCGGAGTCGTAAACCTTAAACCGGCCCACTGTTTAACACCTTTATGAAACGCAGATCACCAGAAGAGCACTGACGCCGCCTCGCATGACGCAGGCAAATTGAAATGAATTCATCATTTTGAACGTGAGAGGAAACCATATTCAACTGGGGGTTTTTTTTCCCCCCCAGCGGTGTTTGCATTTTTCAATTAGCTCCTGTAGACTAGTTGTCATAATAGCAATATTTAGTGCAGATGATCAATCTTATTGTTATGTAATTTGTCACTGAACAAACTTACGACAAGGTTTTGACTGTTTTTTTTTTTTTTTGGTAACAGCATAACTATACATTCTCTAAGATTCGATTGTTTGCATTTCAAAGGATGGCAATCAGTGAGTGTGATGTGGTCTTACCTCGACGTGTGTGAGGGTCCTCTGCAACAAATGGCTTGCTCTTCGTCGTTATGTTGGCCACATCCTGCAAACCAGGTGATATGCGACGCTCATTCACTGTGGCTTTTCAATATGTAACTATCACCGGAGTCGTAAACCTTAAACCGGCCCACTGTTTAACACCTTTATGAAACGCAGATCACCAGAAGAGCACTGACGCCGCCTCGCATGACGCAGGCAAATTGAAATGAATTCATCATTTTGAACGTGAGAGGAAACCATATTCAACTGGGGGGTTTCCCCCCCCCCAGCGGTGTTTGCATTTTTCTATCAGCTTCTGTAGTCTAGTAGTCATAATAGCAATATTTAGTTGTATTAGTATATATAGCAGGAGTGGTAGTAAAAGTAAAGCTGTAGACATAGTTTTGTAAGGTTTCATAATAATTGTTGTTAGTAGTAGTAGGATGTGGTAGTAGAAGTCATAGTCAGTTGTGTTAAAACAAGTATTTTTAGTGGGACGGTGTTAGAAATCTCTGATGTGGTGTCCCATTTTTGAACGTGAGAGGAAACCATATTCAACTGGGGGGTTTCCCCCCCCCCAGCGGTGTTTGCATTTTTCTATCAGCTTCTGTAGTCTAGTAGTCATAATAGCAATATTTAGTTGTATTAGTATATATAGCAGGAGTGGTAGTAAAAGTAAAGCGGTAGACATAGTTTTGGAAGGTTTCATAATAATTGTTAGTAGTAGTAGTAGGATGTGGTAGTCGAAGTCATATTCAGTTGTGTTAAAACGAGTATTTTTAGTGGGACGGTGTTAGAAATGCAATCTCTGACGTGGTGTACCATCAAAAAAAAAAAAAAAAAAAGGTTCAAATCCACACACCCGGTGAAAAGCAGACCACCAGAAGAACACGCTGACCATGAATTAATCATTAAGAACCTGAGAGGAATCCGCACTCGGCTGTGTGACTTGTGTTTTATCTGCACAGAAGGTTCAACTTCTCTGCGACAAAGATTAACTCTCCACCGGTTGAGATGACGCATGTCACACGTTGGCCTTTGGTATCGTCGGACAACAAAATGTTAAATGAAACGCCTCCTCACCAGGAAAGAAGATCCAGCAACTACGAACCACCACGAGGGGAGGAGAGATGATCAAAGCACCGAGACAGGTCAAGAGGTGGTGGTCATCCGGGATTGTGCGCTGGATTCCTGGCAACTGGGACGGCGAGGGGACGTACCAACCAGGTGTTGGAAAAACAACCCCGCTCCCAATCCTTGAGCTCGGCCAATCGGGGGGGAAAGCGTTGCCCGCTGGAAAGGAGGCGGCCGCCTGCTGACTGGCCTTCAAACTCTTCCACAACAAGTTCAAATCGTGATTTATCACACGCTTCAAAGTGGACCCGGTATGGATGCACTCTCTGCACCTGCAAATACTTTCCCACTGAAATGAACTGATAAGCCATTAATCTGTTTTCGCCTCGTCTCAGAATAAAACGCCTTTGTGTGTGTGTGTGTTTTTTTTTTTTAATACTGGGAAAATAGCACTCTGTAATATCTTACTTATTAAAACAAAGTAGTAACATTATTAAAGATAGCGTGTCTGCCTTGGCTGGCGGTTTTAGTTTTATACTTTATGTATACGGCACAGTGCACCTGGAAAGTAATCACCCTATAAACGCCATTATGATCATTATTTATTTTATTTGAGATGTGACAACAACAGCAGCAGCAGCAAATAGCACTACTTTCCATTTCCAGCTCATAATTCTACACACAACACTACACTAATATCATTCTTCCGAATGCAAAGCAAACGAAGTCCTGCTCTAATTTTGCATCGCCGACTGCGTAATGCTCCCGAGTGATTCCGGAGACGGTTTTGTTGCGAGAGGTCAGGCCGGCAGCTGTTTGGAGAGCGCTCTTCTGATTGGCTAAGAGCAACAAGCGCGTGCACGAGGGATGCGAGGAAAAAGGGAAGGGGCACGAAGGGGCTGACGACTAAACGCGCCGACCGTTCTCACGTCTGATTCGCGTTGCGCGGCGTTCAAACTTTGCTCGGCATGGATGCGTTTGCGCGCGCTTGCCTGCAAAAGTGTCATGTTTTGGCGAACAACAACAACAACAACAACAAAGCGCGCTCTCAGGTGTGATGGGCTCCAAGTTGAGCAGGCAGAGAAGTCGAGATCTGGAAAGTGAATGGACCAAGAGAAGGCGGCAGAGGAATGACACGCCGCTGCAAAGCGACAGAGGAGGAGGAGGCGGCGGCGGCGGCGGCGGGGATCTGTTGTTTACCTCGTTGATATTGAAGTCCGACAAGCTGCCGGCGATGCTGCGCAAACGGGACCGCAGCCCGTACGTCAAGCGGGTGGCTTGGATCCGCGACATCCAGCGACATTTACGCGAGCACAGATCCGAGAAAGCGGCCGAAGTGCTCAAACTGCTGAGAAAGGTAAGTTGGCGTTGGGTTAGAGACACAAATGGACCGGCTTTTTTTTTTCCCACGCTACTTTGTTCTCACTTTGAAGTTTTGTAACTAAGCGCATACACAAACGCATGACAATTAAGCGTCGGTCCTACAACAGGTTCATTCTAGATTAGGTTATATTTGCACACCAAGCATTGTGTACTTTGTAAACATATATATATATGTGTGTGTGTGTGTGTGTGTGTGTGTACAGTATAGTTATTTATATAATATAAACAGCACATACATGTTTCAGAATGTCAAGAATGTGTGTTCTGTCATCTTTGCAAAGGCAGATATTTATTTGTACCTAATATTGCGGAAAATGAGTGTACCTTTACACTTTTGTGAGTCAGCGTACTTCTTTGAGTCTTACAAGGGATCAATGGTGTCTGACTAAGGCATCTGTTTTGTCTGCGGGACATGTTTATTCATATCTGCAGAACGGGAAGAACGAAAGGTCCAATGAGCCTTTCAAAAGAAGAAGAGATTGAAAACTAGAGCACATAAAATGCTGAATGTGTTTTGCATTACATAAAATGTCATCGGGTGCAGTGTTCACATTATGATTTGGTATGTTTTTCTCGAAAAATGAAAAAATAAATGCAAATGAGGAGCATCGAATTAATGTTGAAGTTTTCCAAACAAGACTGATCATTATTTTTAATTGGATGCTCTTATTTTTCCACCTTTCCCTCCAAGGGCGATGAATTGAAAGAAGCAATTGTTTGAGCTTGCATTATGCGCATTTGTGGTTGAAATGCTGTCGTTTTTCCATCCCTTACTTAGCGCCATGTCAGAAATCTGTGTGGCGCTAGTCAAGCCCCTCCAGAATTTGATTTGATATTTATTTCTATATGATTTTCTCAAGCCCCCCTTTTAGCCCTGGGAGAGGAAAATCCCGGTGCTGTGCCTGCTTGTGGAGATATATCGTTCAATTGTTTTTCACCATTTCAGTACCTGGATTTTTTTAACATGTATTTAATTTTTGGGTGTGGCGAGGTGCGGTTAGTTAGCAAGATATGTCTCCACCCTGAATATGCATCTTGCTTTTGGATAATCCGCTGGCGAGGCCAGTTTAGAGCGCCTTGTTGTCAGCTGTGAGTGTGGGTAAGAGAAAAGTGGAAGAGAGGCGGGATAAAAAATAAAAATAAAAAATCTGATGTGACGACCAGTCTGTCTACAGAAGATTGCGCCGGTGTGGCTGCTTCAGAGCATCTTGTTGTCACGGCGCAGGATATATTCCAGTCGGCGGAGTCTTTGTATGCAAAGGTGGGCATCGTCAGTCTGCTGAGCCTCATTTACTCTTGCGTGGCAATTTTTTTTAACCATTCAAATTGGGCAGGGCTGTTCACAACACTCTTCTCAATTTCTAAGAAATCTTGACTCCGCCCTTCCAATGTGCAGTTTGTTATTTTGATTGATTATGACAACATAGGATAAAGGTAATGTTGTTCAAATTTTTTGTATTGCCCCCCCCCCTCACACACACCTCCCAAAAATAAAATTTGGCACATTTTTTCTGGGTTTTCTCTGTTATGAAGTTAAGCAAATACTAAAGGATCAAGTTTCATAAAACAGTCAGACATTCTGCCTGTAATTCATTTTTTTTATTGTTCTCAGCATTTAGGGAGCAAAAAAAAGTCACTTTATACATTAGAATGTTTTAAAATTGGCCAATAAATCTGTGATCTGAATTTTATTCCGTCAAATATTGGAATCTGCTTTAAAAAAAAATCCATCTATCGGTTGGACTCTAATATAAACCACTGTAAATTTCATGAAACAAAATGGAACGGCTTCATATCTGTTACACAGCTCCTATCTGCCTCTTTGGTGTCATTTTGTGGCCGCTTGACATGCTGCATCTCTTATCACAAATCCATACGATTGTGTAACTCTTTCCATGCTTTTAATCCGCACTTTCCATGGATGAGGATGTGGGGGGGGGGGGGGGGGATTTAGCCGAACTAGAGAGATGAGAGTGAGCGCAGTTTTTACAGCTCAGCTTGAGCTTTCCACTTCCTCTTGGTAGCTTTGCACTGATCAAAGGCAGGGAACAGTCAGGGTGCTCTGACGGGAGCACTTCTGATCAAGAGAACTCCCCGGTGTTAGGCGGGAGTGGTGGTGGTGGGGGGGGGCGACAACAACCTGAAAGTAACTTCCGTCCCATCTGTAGCTGATGTGGCATACATCCACCGTCCAGTGGAAGCGAGAAACAATACTTCTGCGTTGCCCTTGAAAGCTTTAAAGCGGGATGTCAAGTCGGTGTGGGATGAACAGACGTCTTCAAATTGAGATTTGCATGAAGCTGAAAGGATGTGACTCATGCTAAACTTCCTCTAAGACGTTCTGACCGATGTGTCTGCCTTTGCTCGTTAGCAGCATTTACGCAGTGACTCACTTAAAAGATGAGAAAGGGATCCTTTGATCCTGGGCTCTCCCCTTGCCTTATTTTTACACTCGTACGAGAGCAACCGACAATGCCACAAAGTGGCTTGCAAAGTTCCTGGCTAATCCTGTAGGGAAAGTCGTCATTGGCGTCAAGATTAGGATGTTGGAGTGATACATCGATATCTTGGTAGTGTCAGGAGGAAGAAATGTGTGTTTTTAGACCAGGATAATAGTACGCTATAATAGTGTAAATTATACAACATACCATAATCATGATTTTATTCAATGCGAATCTTTCTGCAGCGTGTGACTTAACCACCGCGGTGTGGTATGAAGACTTTCACAACTACTGTAAGCGACTCCTGCGAGTATCGTTATATTGTGTCGTCGTATTATTTGTATTCTCCGACTCTCGTGTGGCCCGACGGGAGAGAGCTAAGCGTCCTTTAATGCTCCGTGATTTCGACGCGGCTTTTTTTTTTTTTTCTTCTCCCCCTCTTGAGAGGCAGAAGGATTTGCAGATAATCGCCTGGAGATGATGGAACATGTCTCTTTCGCGTGGTGGAAGCCATTACGGAGAGGAACCAATAACATCTCCATTGCAACATGTGCCCTCGAGGTTGTGAACGTAATTAGTTTGGGGTGTTGGAGATATTCATTAAGTGAAGGAAGAATCAGCAAGTATCAATGTCGCTGGAGCCAGTCACGGAGGAAGGCGTTGCCTTTTGTTTACAGTACAGTGGAGGCGAACGATTCGTCAAATTCAAAACGACAGTGCGGTGTATTGTAATGCAATTTTCAACTCGCAATCAGATTCTTTTTGAAATTTTGTTCAGCCCGAGTGTACAGTGTGAGGGGTCAATAATAGGTTGGCTCCCATATCACGAGACGTACAGTTTACCGATCGCACTGCAGTTTTCTTCATGAATAAGTAATGAGGGAGACAAAAAGGAGGGTTTTGAATTAAATGCAACACAAATTTGTCCAATGATTTCCAGGGAATTTTCTAAATGGCAGCTTCAATCTCACATTTACAACTGGGTAGTAATTTAGTCTCTAATTAAACCCAATATGACATTTGGTGAGAAGAGTGGAGCTCATCCTGAAATTAGTCGCCGGCCAATCGCAGAACATCGACTGCTGCACTTGAGCGCAAAATATGGCATCACCCCACGCGTATTTATTTCCTCCCGGATGCAAAGCATAAACGGCGGCCTGGATCAGTCACACTTGACGACATATCTAATTGGATTCTAATGAAGCGCACAAGCGAGAAGAGGCAACACTTCTGAGATCAAATTACATACCCAGCCTTCAAAAGGACGTTTTTTTTTTTTTTCCCCCCCCAATCAGATCCGAGTCCATTACCAAAACGGAAATGTGGACAAATGGAAAATATATGAAGTCTTACAATTGGGAAGCGGCCAAATGAATCCTTGGAATTGGATCTGATGGCGCTGTAGCCGCATCATAATACAATAGACTTCGTCTGGGCATGAAACAACGTGTAATCGCAGGGCCAGCTTGGCCCGGAGGACAGACCAGCATCAGGGACTCCCACCGAGGTCCAGTGTAATAAATCAAGTCAGAAGCCAGAGGAGGAGAAAATGCTGATGGAAGTTTCCCCTCCTCTACGTGTCCCCTCAAAGGGTTTGGTCCGTCAGAGCGCGCAGAACATTACATAACCTCAACCCCCGGTCTGTATTAGAGTGTCCATTATCACACTATTTGGCAAGATGGTGTTCTTTGAGAGCTGCATCGTTTTTTTTTTTGTATTTTTTCTAACATGAATCTGTACTTAGAGTTAAAGAACTGCAAATACCATCGGTCCCCGGAGATGTGCCCTGCTTCTGCATGGCTTTGCTTTACATTCCTGTCGTCTTACTCGATATCAGCAGTGGTGGGAAATAACAACGTCCAAATGCTTAATGACTAGGGATGCCCCAATTGCAATTTTTTGGGGGTGATGTCATGATTTTCAACTGGATCGGGACATCGCAATTGGGCTATTACACTTCTATGCTTAATGACTAGGGATGCCCCAATTGCAATTTTTTTGGAGGTGCAGGGGAACGGAATTTGAGGATGATGTCATGATTTTCAACTGGATTGGGACATCGCAATTGGGCTATTACACTTCTATTGACCAGAATCTTTTTTTTTACACAAATGTAGACTTATGATTATGACACTTGATGTAACGCCAAGATTAATCTTTCACCAATGGCCACTTTTTGAACATTCCTCTCTTTGCAGGATTTGGGACTCCAGGGAACGTCGCTCAATGACATTTTGTACAAGAATGCGGCTTTTCTCAACCTGGTGGACCCGATCTCACACGAGCTGCTGTTGAGTTTGGCCCGAGACCTGCAATGTCCTAAGAGGGTGAGTATCTGGAACACGTTTTAAATTGCTTAGTCTTTACCTTGAGAGCTTTCACGCACAAATAATGATAACCTGTAACCTGATAACCTGATAAGCTGTCCACTGTAGTCAACGCTGTCCCCGAAAGGGTTCAAATGTGTGTGGCATTGGTTTTATCTGTATTTTACGGTATCTGTTCATGCATGATGACCCCTGATGAATCCAAGTTGGCACCCGATCTCACCTTTGGCACACAAATAAGAAACTCCCCACGATGGAGGCGCGAAGAAGAGAAAGACACTAAATAAACCGAGTGGCTGAATTTCACAGAACAGACCCGGCAGCCACGACTGTTATCTGGCATCGGCAGTTTTAGAAAAGATGGTCTTCCTAAAGATTAACTCGCCGGGAGCTCATTTTGACTCACTGAGTCCATGAGGATAATGACCTGTGAGCAATTCTAATCTTATCGCTGTTTACGTTTGCAAAAGGGGATGCCCACGAGGAAAAGAGTGAAAGTTTGGCGAAGGCAAAGCGTTCTCTTGACTGACTGGCGACCCGAGACGGGACCCGGTCGTGGACGTGACAGGCCTCGGGAGAGGCTGCATGCTCATTATACATGTGCAGCAGCTGCTCTGGCCAATGTAATCCAACAGTGACACATTTTGAATGATATAAACAAATGGGAATCGAAAATCGCAACTATCGTTGCTCACCGTTGACGCGTCAATGACGTATCGCATTGTACCTGAGCATTAATCGAAGTGGACTTTCCCGAGGCGAAGCTATGCGGTTGTTTTGAATACACATGCACTCCTTTTGTTTTCTCTTTAGTTTGACAAAAAACTTAATTTTAGTGTGGCATTAAAAAGCTTCATTTTTTTGACTAATTATTCACTATTTGCCAAGCACATGCACTCCTTTTGTTTTCTCTTTAGTTTGACAGAAAACTTCATTTTAGTGTGGCATTAAAAAGCTTCAAGCCTATTTTTTTTGACTAATTATTCACTATCTGCCAAACTGCTTCTTAACTCATTAACAGATGAAATAATGGACCTTTGACTTCTATTGCCGTCAATGGCAGTGTTAATGTGAAGTGAGATTCAACCGAGTTCGTTGCCAGCTTGCATCTTGGAGAATTTGCAAATCGGGTCACTTGTTAATATAAAAAATAATATCTAGCATGTGTTTAGATGCAGCATGGGTACCGCGCGACACTAAATCTATGGTTCCAAATCACATTTCCAAACGGTCCAAGACTACATCGTTAATCAGCATGCGAGGAGATGTGTTCAGTCACCTCAATGGCTAAGAATGGCAGCACGGACTGTTTTTAGGTTTGAGCCATATTTATTTGTCACCCAAGAAACAAAGCGGCGGCTGAAATGGTTAATCGCTTGAAGTTAAATTGCCTTTTTCTTTTCTTACCCTTCCCCAGTCTCTCTCTCTCTTTGCCACACTGCTTCTTTCTTGTTGTTGTGTTGTAGCATTAATTAGATTTGCCCAGCTCAGCGCAAACCTATTCCATTTATAGTGACAGAGGAAGACAGAGGGAAAAGAAGAAGGACATGGAGGAAGAAGGAGGAGGTGGCAGTAGGACAAGTACATGTTGCCGGGAGGAAAATGCTGTTTCCTTTATAAGATCAGAGAGCTTTTTCGCAACAGTGTAGATTTCCACCATAACCTGGTTTAAAAATACAAAACAAAACAACAACAAAAAAAAAAAAAAAGTCTTCAGAGACTGAAATGAACCAGAGAACTGATGCAGCATTTGAGGAAACTGGAAAGTGGGACTCGTATCGTCCCAGTTCTGACTTCAAAGGAATGAAAACAACAAATAGAGCTGATTTCAATCAATTGTTTGTTGTTCTGATTCCTCGTGACTCATTTTGACCTCCAGCAAACCTTCTTCATATATTGCTTCATTTATAGAAATAAAGGCGTGCTGGTCCGGTGTTTTCTTCTGTCAACCGTAGGCTAGTTTCGGAAAGCAAGAAGAATATCAAGTAACCGCTCCGTCAAGCGTCCGATGTTTCGTCATTTCCGAATGCTTCGTTTGATTGAGATTTGCGATTCACTGCGTGTCCGCTGTGTTGCTGCAGGAGACGGACTCCCTCAAGTCCACCAACAAGATCTGCCGCCAGCTAATTTACCACCTGACTCCTCACTCCAAGTGGACGAGACAAAGCGTTCCCAGGAGGAAGTCTCAGGCCTGGTGAGCGCGTTGTCGCCGCATCATCACTCTTCAGATGGAAGCTCCCTCGCATACCCGGGGCACATCCTCGCCGTAAACATTTCTGAGAGTCATAAATCCTCCTTAAAGCCTCTCGGAAATATTTATCTCAATTAGTGTATGGAGAAGTGCTCCTTTACTATCCTGCATCACGTTTTACATTGAATCAGGGACACTTTTTAAAGCGGAGGCAACCCAGTCAGGGTCAATATTAGCGTTCGTGCTTCGACCATATCGAATATTAGATTTTGGAGCTGCAGGCACCATCTGGAGTCACACCAGTGTAAGTTCCGTCATGATCCAAGAGAAACGACAGAATCTCGAGCCTTTGATTGTGAATCGCTGCTCTGACATGCCTGAATTTCAACATTGACGATGCGCTATCAGCATTGTGTCCCGCGAAATGAAATGCGGCGTGGAAAAGGAGCTTAAGATACCTGAAGATAAGATGCCGCAGGCGCTGGATTGCAAGGAGGCAAACAGTGGTTGACAAGGCCTAATCCCGAACGTGCTTGTCGACTTCCACTTAAAAACATCACCCGCACACACTGTGAACTTTTTGAGCCAATTATTTGCGGAGTCAAACGGATTCAACATTGTCGAAGGCTCCTCGAGGTGTTTGAAGACGGCATAAACAACAGTTCCGTCGCTCAAGCCTTCATCTCGCCATGTTTGCAAACAACAATGAGCTCATTAAAAAAAGATCTGCTCCTATCACGGCACTTCACGCAGGAAGACTCATTCGAACAGACAAGAACCGGTTTCAGTGATGCGACCTGAAATTCCGCGCGATTTAGTCAGGATGGGGCAAAATAATTGAAGAACCGTTGATTGATAGCAAAGTAATATTTTGATCGGGTCCACTCAATGGTTGATTAATTGCCGCTTGAAGCAAACGAGGTGAGGTGGAGTGCACTACTGGGCTGCCACCAGCGGAGGTGCTGTTGAGGTCTTTTTTACTACTTTGCAAGCGGCTTAAGGGTTCAGCTAAATACGAAAAAAAAAACAAAAACGGAATCACAGTTTGAGCGAAGGGCATTGCAGTAGCACTGGTATTTACGGCTCATCAACAACCAAAAAGAGATCCATGATATATATCGGTGACAGTTTTAACCCTTTCAGGGACAGCGGTGACAACAGTGGACAGCTTACCATGTTGTCAGGTTACAAGGTGCATGAAAGGGTTCATTTGATTTGATTTTTTTTTTTTAGTTGATATTAGAATTTCTAAAACCGAAATGTATTTTGCCATCAAAATATTCAGTGTTAAAAAAATTCACCACGTGAAAGAATGACAGATGAGTTACAGATTGTTTGACAGTCGGTTGAGCTCTTACATTTATTTTTTTTTTTTTGGTGTCATCTTGTGTTTGAATTTAAATGTCGAATACAGGCTTCGGGATCACGTTCTTAACTGATTGTATATGTTGGCAGGGTTGACAAACGCCGTGATTGAATACTCTTCCTGGCTTCCTCCGGGATAATGACACATTTGGGGGGGAGGGATAGAAAACAAACCTCTTAGCAGATGGCTTGATGAAGACTTTCACCATTGTACACGTTGAGTGGCGCAGCCCCAGAGCGATGCTGTGTTTGACATCCCAGATGAGTCACTTCGTTCATGGAAACTGAATAAATAAAATTTGCAATGTTAATGTCACAGCAGCCAAAACCAAAAAAAAAAAAAAAACAAACAAACAAAACCCCATTCGTATTGTGTATTATTTTAGTGCAACAAACCTTTGCCGGCGATGAGCTACTCCGTCACACGTCTCTCATGGGCTGCTCGTGCGGCAAAGCGGCATCATTGGGAAACATTTGCTCGTCATGCAAAACAAACAGGTGGCACATGGAAAAAGAATGGAAGGAAACAAACAATCTTTCTCAATCGCGGTCAATATGAAATTCCGTTTCGTTGCCCGGTGACATCGCTAACCCATTTCCAGTGACCTCGTTGCACAAACTGTCCTAATTTGCAGCTGAGTGGAAGTGCTCGGTGGCTAAATTGCGAATCCGCCCATGATTTGATTCCGAGTGACAAACTGGATGCTTTGTAAGAAAGCGACGCTGCGACAGAAGACACAGAAAACAGTTTGCCTTACATCACCGTGTATCGCGGAAGGGCTGCTTTACTATGTCAAGGAACAGTTATGAAACCGGCATCGAGAATGCACAGCTCCGAATACGGTGCAAATGGGCTCCGGTGATCTTTATTATCCTCGCAGGGGGTTCACATCGTGAAGATCAGGCTCGTCTTTGTTTCATTCAAGATTCAATCAAGGCTGGTTCATGAGGAGGTTAAGAGCCGTTTAAGACCTGGGGCATTAAAAGTCTTGAATTGTTTGTTTTGGGTTTTTTTTTTTTAAGCCACGTACCATCAAATTCCACACTCCAGGAAATCGCATTCAAATCTTGTGCGAGCCTGTCCATATTTCCTGGACCTAATTGTCATTCTGGCTCCGTGCCATAACGACTGGACTTTTCTGCTCATCGTTGTCTTTCCAGGAGCTTCGGGTCGACCACGGGAAGCCCTCAATTATTCATGTCCATGGCGAGCGATGAGGTCAAAGTATGCAGTCTTGCCGTTCCACGTCAAGCATGATTTTGATGGGCCAACGCAGAAACAAGTTCAAGTCAAGTTGCCCTTAAACACACAAAAGGGTCTCAAAGGGATTCCCAAACCCACAGTTCGTGAAAATCAAAGACACAGAAAACGGTGGTACCTCCAATCATTGCGTAATCATTTTGCAGAGGGCGGGTTTTGAAAGGAAGCAGCTTGTGGGAGAAATTCCGACAGTCGACGTTCACACACGGCGGGTGACACCTGCCCAAACAGCTGTCAAGACCACACAACTCTTCTCACTCTTATCATCAGACGCCACAAAGCTCCGAAATGCCGCCGGGGCTCACCAGCTGAGTAATGTTGTCCGCTCTGAGACAAAAGCCTAGCGTAATTGCGCGCACTTTCCTCAATCGCTCTGCTATTATGCTGATTCGAGACAAACGAGGTTAAGTCATCTCGCGAAGCCGCTCTGATCCCTCCACCGGTGTGAAAGTGTGCCTGCAATCAGAGTCCAATCGAAAAAAAATGCTCGTAAAGAGCAATAATATTTTTGGATGATTGGAATATGATATTGAGTCGTGTAAAATTGTACACCTAATATAAATTATAAATGAAATGACCCTAATGGTACATTAACGTGTAATTTTGTGACAGTCTATGAGCAGTTACCAGTTTCAGCAAACATAAGGATAGCAGTTCAAACATTAGTTCTGAGATGTACTTTCTCTTTTCTAAAAATGGTGAGAATTCTCCAGTGATTTTGAACGTGTCAAGGAAAAAAAAAAACACGAGGGGGGGTGGGTGTGTGAATACAAGAGCTCTAATCAGCAACCTTGCAGTGATTCCGCCGCCTCCTCTATCTCCGAGTTTGACAGCCCCGTTTCCCCAGAGCCTAAGCTCCAACTGCAGCACTGCTGCGTGTGGCAATAACCGAGCAAAATGGACTCTTTACAGTCAGCGAGGAGAAAGCGCCTGGTAACGGAACAGAGGAAGACAATCGGGAATGCGGTGGCATCTTGCGGCATTTTTATTTCAAAAAGCACCCCACAAAAATGCTCATTTGTCTTTTTTTTTCTCTCCTGTAAATAACATGGTGACAGGTTCCACAAAAAAATAATTATCATAAAAAGTGATCTTATGGATTCATGAATAGTGAACCGTATGTTTCCTAAAACTTCATTTCCAAACCGTCAAATGCAGGTTTTGGAAATAAAAGTTACGTGCAGTACCAAAATAAACCAGCTGCAGGCTGCAGTTTCATAATATAAGTCGTTTTGACACATGTCCCGGTGCTTTGCTGGTCATCAGGGGTCAACACTATTTTAAGAACGATCCTAAGCTAATTGCGTTTCTTGTCTGAAGCTGCCTCGGGCTCCCGTAAAATAAGTTACCGGCGCCTTGGTTCCGACAAGGTTGACAACTCCTCCCCACTTTATGCTACATAATCTAGGATGATGATCTGTTTGGATGACTTTATGTTTGTTCAAGCAAATTCGTAATGGTTCTGGATATTTGTGGCAATTAGCACAGGCAAAATGTGTCACACCTCACCCTGCGGGGCAAATAACACTCACTAACGCGGGCACAAATTGAACTGAAAGTAGCGTCACATTGAGAGTCATTCAAAATAACCGCACCGCATAAAAATGACTATTCAATTAAAACACTAACCCTGAAAGTCATTCGTCACTGCCTCCAAGCAATAACTTTGTCGGCACATTTTGACCGAGCTACAATTGTTTTTGACCTACTCGGGTTTTAAGTGTAGCCCCAAAGGTAAGGTCAAATGTGATGAAGTCATTCTCCAATTCATACTTGGATTTAAATCAAGAATACCAAATTCCATATAAAGTCCAAAATACCAAGGTTCAACGAACAAAACAAACAGTAGCAACCAGATTCAACAGGACGTGACTCGACTTGGACAAGGACAGACAGCAAACAAACGATGAGCGGACAAAGACAGACAGGAAACAGGAATCCTGACGAGAAACTGAGAAACATTTAGACGAGGGAACCGTTTGGTCAACACAAGCCCAGGTGGACCTGAAAACCGAACGGGCCTGACAAGAAAAAAGGAACACGGAGGGAATACCCAAAACTAAATCCAGTCAGAGCAAAACAACAAAAACACAGCTCATAACAGAGAACTGCTAAGTGAAGACAAATACGCAGCGCATCCTTAAGAGAGGTTGACCAAAACCAACTTGGATTCCACAGTAAAAAGAAATCCAAATAGTCCACCGAGGAGGAAAACCAACAAGAGATTTGAACCAAACGGACTAAAGGGTACACAACTGAAAGTAGCCATAACCTCCTCTCGAAGTGAGGAAATAAAGAACCGCAAACTGTTCCTCTCGTCTCCCTGTAGATTACTCATTCATGAGACTAAATGAAGGGGAACTTATAGTCTGCGTAGGAGGACAGTCATTACAAGTTTCTTTCTCCTCATGCTTTTAACTGTCATTCTGGAGGTGCAATATACAGTACATGAGTTGCCCCCCCCCCACCCCAAAGAAAATATTTAGAGGAGATGAGAACCAAGATGGAACGGAGCTAAAAAGTGTGCCTGCTGATACGCGCGTTGCTAGGGGGTGTAACAGAAGTCGATTTCCATCAGAAACATTACACTGAGTCATCAAAAACTCGAGTATCATCACATATTGGCATCATTTAACAATAAGCCTCTGCTACAACAATGATGTGACTCGGTGCGATATTTTTTTTCCAACCACGCAGCCCATTAGAAGACAGCTTCATTAGGCCAACACTTTCTCTAGGTTGCCATGGCCTTTGCAGCATGCCCGTTCCCCCTCAGCCTGCGTTCTATTTCAATATCGCAAAGACCCCAGACGCTTCCTTTCCCATCTCTGGGCTTTACATAACCACACAGCAGCGAGCACCCTTGCTCCGTGCATGAAAGTTAACAACATCCCCGAGGAAAGTCGGGGCTATGAAAAGCAATTAGACTGTCTGCTCCAGCCATATGTAAGCAGCCGATAGTTTGACACGCGCGACTCGGCGCTTATTATATTCCTGCACTGTTGTCAGTTAGCTGCCAACCATGTCAAGAGTTGCTCTTGCCTGGCTCTCTGCGGCACGCGTGCCGTCTTTGCATTCACTAGTATCGTGGCACCTCTACTTACGAACGTCTTTTCATACGAAATTTTTAAGTTACGAAAAGCTTCAACAGGAAAATGTTGCCTCTTGTTAAGACACGAAAGGTAAAAATACAGGACGGGCTGGTATTCGCAACTCCGAGTTTACTGAACGCAACATACTTATAGCTGCTCTGCCATTGGCTATTACCTAGCATCGTCCTGGCATCCCATTGGCTAAGAATATTTCTACCACTCCTTCTGTTTCTTCTTTTAACGTCATTTACGGGGCTCGCAAGTTCAGAAGGACGTCGCCACAGTTTGCTATGTTATCATGATAACGGATTGTAGTGTACAAAAAAAGCCTGCTTCAGAAAATGCGAATCGCGGGCCCGCGGCCAAATGAGCAGCTTGTGGGTGGGAATTGTGGCCACGCAGCCCCGAGGCAACGTGCTTGGAAGCGAAGTGTGGAGTCGTCCCTTTTCTGTCTCATTAAAAAAAAAAAAAAAACGCAGCCCAAGACAGCCGAACTCCCACACCCTGCACCATCCACTCTGTCCACGGACAAATCTTGCTTGACTTTGTTGGTTGTGCGGGATATCGTTTTCCCAGACAAACGGGTGGGAGGACCTCTTGCTGAGCAAACACCCGCTATAAATACATTGCTCACACTCGGAATTACTCATCAATATAAACATTTTCGAAAGCGGACCTTTTCAATTGAACGAATTATTAACTCATGCTGCGACTCAGCAGCTATCTGGGCAATCGAAACCTCCGATGACTTTACATCGGGGGGATGGGCAACTCCGGTCCTCGAGGGGCAACATCGAAAACATTCTTCCTCTTTTTTCTCTTTTAATTCCCGCGCACGCCACAAAATGAACAAATTGGAATATAACGCCCCAGCAGACGAAACAGACTCATTCATCATACAGTCATTAATAGCAGTCCTATAACACTTGATGAATAGCTGAATGAACCACGGGCAGGCGAACTCTCATATCAATAAAATAATCTATAAAAATTACTTTAAGGGTTGGGAGGCCAAATGAGAATTTTTATGAGCCGTCCAAGAAAAATATTAGATGAAGATGAACTGAGTATATGACAGGAGCAGATGAAGTATAACCCGTTGCTTTCATCAATCATCTCCCGAATCACAGTGCTGATCTTGTTTTAGTCCTCAACTGAGCCTGAAGGGTGACAAATGTATTTATTGCAAGCAAATTAATGAGCAGGGAGATGATCCAGAGGGACACCCGTGAGCTAATTAGCCAAGAACTTTCGCCACTACACCAAAATGTGTATTTTTTTTTTTTTTTTGAGAGCCTCTGACAGTCTGTGTTGTTACGTGCTTGCTGCAAGAAGTCACGGCCTGCGGCTAATCCCGGCAGAACGCAGTCTTCAAGTCTCCTTGAATGTCACTTTTCAGAGGGGCAAGGGGGGGGGGGAGGTTAAACTGAAACCAACAATCCGAATCTGACATTCATGTTACAAACTGTCTTTGTCTTGTTTTTTTTCTTTTCCTGTACCCCATTCTGCGAGTCCATCATTGTCATGTCCCCAATCTTTGGTTTCGCGGTTCTTTTTCACGGAAATGACATCGGCACCCAGGAGACAGAAGCCATTACTCAAGATTGAGACACATTGAAATGCTAATTCTCCCATTACATTATCGATTTCAGCGCTTGTTACGCTCTCCTAGAGTTTGGGGGTTCCTTTTTCTCTTTTTTTTTTTTGCATACTTTGCAATTCCTGCAGTCTATTGGGACAGTGTGCCCCCACCATCTTGTCATGTGACAGTCCTCCACCTCACGGCCCACTCAAGAATGAATCTGCCTCAACGTTATTTTCTCTCCTTTTCCCAAATAGCCTGAAGACCACCCTGAAGAAAAAGCTGGCCGGCGATGTGGTCAACCTCTCCGGCATCCCGCTCTCGGGAAGAGACGTCCACCGCGTGGGCTTGTACCTGCAGGGTGCCAGCGACGCCGTGTCGGCTGTGGACTTGAGCTTCACGGGCCTTCAGGACGACAGCTTGCGCCTGCTCCTGCCGGTCCTAAGCGGTTTGCCCAAGTTGACCACGCTCGCCGTCAACGGCAACCGTCTGACGGCGGCCGTCCTCAAGGATGTGACGGAGGTGGTGAAAGAGCCGAAGAAGTTCCCCAGCCTGGCGTGGATCGACCTGGGTAACAACGTGGACATCTTTACCGTGCCGCAGCCGCTGCTGGTGGCCCTGCGCCGACGTTTCGGTTTACGCAGCAGCCTGCCTACCATATACGAGTACAGCGAGGCAAAGTTCGGCGGCTACGTTACCAATATGGAGACTTCCGTGGAGGAGACCAGCGTGTTTGAGGAAGGCGACGAGGGCGAGGATGAGCGAGACCAAGACGACGACAGGCTGGAGTTGCGAGCTTGGGGCTTTACGGAGGAGAGAACGTCCAGGAATGTGCAGGTGGCCTTCTGTGGGAGGTGATTCAAGAAGAAATCTTGACTGACTTTCCTGGCTCTTCGTCTTGTCTCTTGAGATAAAAAGTAAATGCAGTTTTGTCCCTCTGGACAGCTAAGGTAGACGCATGTTGAAAATGATAAAAGATCATCACTTATCGCTCATTATTTTGCGGACTCTTCATCCAAGGAAACCCCCGATGACCCCAATTTGAGGAAGCCGACTTGTGAAACCACTGACCGAGTCTCTTGCCGACCCATGGAAAAGCTGGGCAGTTAAGTGCCTTGCACAAGAACACCTTAACAATCACTGACAATATGTTTACACGGTCACTATGGGAACCCTTTCGAATTCCTGGCATTGGAAATGATTCGTTTTCATCCTCCAGAAAACAAACTCTCAGTTCACGTGACTAACCGGTCTTGAAATACAAAGTTTACACAATCCGTTCGGAACACTGATCAACAGATGCTGAGGTGTCAAAAAAAGGGAGGATTGCATTTCATTCAAGAGTTACTGCACATGACTGAAGTATGAGGCTTTCAAAATAAAACAGGAAGTCAACACTGTGTTGAATATCTATCCATTATCTAATCCGCCTATCCTCACCAGGGTTGCGGGCGTGCCGGAGCCCATGTTAAAAACATTTTTACTCGCAACTGTTTTTGTACACAAAATGAGAACAGGGTACAACAGTTTAGCCTTTTCTAGGTAGGAGGAGAGCCACAAAACAAAACATTGTCATTCCACTGGAGTTCAAAACAGCATAAATGTTCCAAACAATGGCAGCACGCTGATATAGTGGTGAGCCCATCTGCCTCGCAGTTTTGAGGTTCGGGTTTGAACCCTTGGCATGCTTTCCAATACTCGCATGGATTTTCTCCCTGTACTCATCTCAGATGCTAAAAAATATACATGGTAGCTTCATTGAACACTCCAAATTGTAACCATTTGTGTCTGTACTGTATGTGCCCTGAAATCGGCTGGAAAAACAGTCCAAGGTGCAGCCAGAGTCTCTTGCCAAACATCAGTAGATTCCATCTTACTAATAAAGAGAACACGCCCTATTGAAAATGGATAGATGATACAAACGGTATTTTTGACTGTAGCTGTGTTTATCTGCACACACACACACACACACACACACACACACACACACACACACACACACACACACACACACACACACACACACACACTTGCATATGTCCAGCCAACTGAACTGATTACTGCCTGGGTTCTCTCAAATCTACTTTTTCTCGGTAAATAGGACGAGCCCCAGATTATTTTGATGACGGCTTATGACGATTGAGTTTATTTATTCATAGGGGCAAGAAGGATGGCACATTTTAAACTGTACAAATTGTCACATTTTAAACTGTACATTGTAGCATGTTTTTTATGTACATGACCACAAATAATCTTTTCTTTTAAAATGTGACACTTTATCCTGCCTCTTGTTGTTGCTGTATTATTGTGTATTTGTTGGCGTGCTATTGTTATTTTATTTATTTTTTTTGTGCTAGGATACTAATGAGACGAATGCCTGGTGTTTGTGTGTGTTTGTAATATTAGAGTGTGCATCAGCTGGCACGCAGTGTAACAGACTACCTTTTGATCACAGAAATGAAATGTTTACTCATTTGCACTTTAAGGACAGCGAGTCCTCAGAATAAACAGACTTTGTTTTAATGAGTCTTTCTCGATATGAAAGTTAATGAAACACTGTCTTATAAATTATTATTTTGATCATTTTCTACAGATCAGGTGATGTGTGCATCATCTCAAGATTTTCTTTTTAGAGGTTTTATCAATGGAGTTGTTACCTTTCTTTTCGAATGAAGATGATCTTTACCTTCTGTTGCTTCCGAAATAAACTCTGTTTGAAAATCTCATTCTGTGGATTTCTACTATATGTTGGCTTTGGAAATGAACAGACACTGCACTGTATCAGGACCTTTGTTCCATTAGATGCATTAAAAATTACAATTACTGTCTGCATATATCTTGTTTTCTTTTGCAAAACCTTACCTTCATGCGACTTCACTAAGGTAACAAATATATAACGCAATAAATCTAATGATGGCCATTGACTTTTGCACAGTAAGTTACATTGGTTAAAAGTAGTTAAACTCGGTGGATTTGTGAGTGGAATGATAGAAGAGGAAATCAATATTTAACCGGCTTTCTTTGTCAATAGAGCAAAACAAACACAATCTGAATTTGATCATGCATATTGTATCGCCACTAGTGCGCATGTGTGTGTGTGTGTGTGTGTGTGCGAGAGAGAGAGAGAGAGAGAGAGAGAGAGATAGAGAGAGAGAGAGAGAGAGAGAGAGAGAGCAGACAAAATGCTGACAGCCGCATCTTGTTTTTTTTTTTCTCCCCATCGGCACGTTTGCATGTCAGCATTTCATCTGTTGTGTGTGAAGAAATGTCGCCCTGAGCCGACCTGTCACGGGATGAATAATACCAACGTCCTGCCAGCGCGGCGTTTTCACCCAGTGGGTGCAGTCTGCAGCCATCGGTCTTCGTTCCGATCCCTTGTCCCTCTGAATGAAGGCCGCGAGTGTCAGGTGGAAAACGTTTCGAGTCGGGATGTCTTCCAGGCTTTCGCTGTTTCATGTTTATGCAAGTAGAAAAGACAAAAGTCAACACATCAGTCAATAACTTCAATTCACAGCATGTCTCATTGTGGTTTAATACACGTACGTTATGATTGCCAGTAAAAATACTATAAAATTCAAATGTCCCTCGAAGCACCGACCTTTGAACCTTGCAATGTCAATCTTGAGTGGAAGACACTTACTAAACAAATTCACTCAGCTATCTGATCTGCCTCAGGCCACTTAACTGGAAAATTCTAATCAGCAACTCGCACTCGCACATTCGCCGATTGACTTTCACAACCAAACAAACTTGGTGAGGCACAAACTGCGACCCCTGGTGTTCTTTTATGGTAACAATTTTTAAGGCTCTGTATATTTTTTTTATTGGACCATTTCCAACATGGCAGCGTTATCGTGGCGAAAGCCGGTGTTAATATTTGAGAGGCTTTTTGGCAATGAACGACACGTTCCATTCATTGACTTTGTGTGATCATTTCTGCATGCACAACGCTGACGCTAGTTGCTGTTGCTCGTTGAACCCGAGCAGCAGATTTGTATTTGTTTTATAAAAAGGGTAACTAGTCCATCTAGTGACGAAGAATGGATTTACATGTGCCTCCGCAGATGGCTCCATTTGATGAATTCATTGGAAGGACAATGACACTGAGCTACCCGAGTGTCAAAGTGAAAATTAATCCACATAAGGGATTGTCTCTCGTTTGCCTAATCTTACAAGAAATTTCACTCAAATTGCTTTGAGGTTTTTGAGTATTCCTGCTCATATGTATTCAACCAATCACAAAGCATTGCATCAGTGGAGCCAGGAAGCAAGTCAACAGGGGAGGCAAGTCAAGATTCAGTAAACATCCAACCACTTCAAACCTAGTAAATGAATTACCAGGGTACATTGAATAAAACCCCTTTCCTCACCACCTTTGATGTTCCCGACAGTGTGGAGGAATATCCATGGCAAACTGTGTCAGTGCTGGCCTGAGGGCCTCGGAACATATTTAGACCAAAATGGCTGTGAAATTAAACCAACAGCAGGTCACTATTGATGTGATATGGCATAGAAAATTTCAAAGGGGCATTTGCATCATTTCTTTGCTTGCCTGCAGTGATGATTCTGCTGCTGCTGCAGAAGAGTCTCATACCCAAATGTGGTCCATTATCATCAAGTGTGAGATGCCAGAAAAATCTTCTCTCTCCCGAGGCGCACTTGGCCCTGAATGGTGATCACGATGGTACAGTGGAACCTCCAAACTCAAACAATTTGGAGTTCAGCCTAATTTATGCCTAAAACAGTGAGCAAAGGTGTGATGTGTGTATATGTAACATGTCTCACAGTTTGCCACTCTGTAAAAATCCCACATAATCCAACAGGTATCCTAATTTCTACTGCCATGTTTTCTTTTCTTTGTATTTTGCGGCAGGCTGGCTGCCCAGTGGCACCATGCTGCCTTTTATAGTTCAGTCTAGGTACTACAACAGACAATGTGACCCGACGGAATCCAACAAATGTGAAGGTAAAGTGACATAAAGGTTAGGAGATTTGACTTTCCGAAGAGGCCGCATGTACAGAGATCTTTAAACAAAGAGGATGTCATATTCTTGACATTGATCACTAAATTCACTTATTTGCTAAATGCTTGAAGAGTTTTTAGTCTCGCCACAAGGGGACGCAAATTCCCCCCACAAACACCAATGATTTATTTCTCAACATTATAGTAGAAAATAATTTCCGATAGCATCTTTTTGGAAAACTACAGACTTTAGCTACTCGGATATTTTTGTTTTTTTTGGGGGGGGGGGGTAGGACAATAACCAGCGTCTCAGAAGCAATTGTGTTATGCTATCTAAAGTCTTTTCTTCTGTCCTTACATGCACCCAGTCTCCCCAGCAAGTACTGGTTATGCAAAGGAAGGAATACCTTAAATTTATGTTCTGCATCAGGCACAAACTGATTCTCATAAATCCATTAATGGTCATGAAAGATGACTGAAATGATGCACTTGGGTATTTTTCAGCCGTGGATAAATTTATAACACGTCAAAAACAAGCTCGCGAGGTTCACCTTATTTGACTGGTGGTGAGAAGAAAATAAAAACGCCAACAGTGAGGAATTGCCGCTGTGTGGAGATGAAAAAAAAAAAAACAAAACGTGACGCGTGAGCCAAGGGCTCGCACATGCGTCTTTCCGCCCGGCGCTGTTACGTAAAAACGGATTGGCTGTTGCACACACAGCCCCTGTACGCGCGTTTTGATTGGCCGCCGGTCCCGTCTTTGGTTATGACGTTGTACCTACTCCACACATACACACGTACACACAAAGCACAAACATAAAAAGGCAGGAGAGAGGCAAGACGTAATGGTTTGACTCTGTGTGCGTGCTCTTGCGATGACCGTGGCTCCTGCATTAGCCTGCACATTCCTCAAACGGGAGGCGCAATGAAGGTAGGTGCCCTCTGGTGACATGTCATTGACTCACTTGTGTTTATGGAGCTTATACGCACGGTGCCACAGCTCCACTGCTAAGGTGATTGATTACAGTTTACACGGGGTTATATAAGGAGACCCCCTTCAGTGCAGTGGCGGTCATTTTCGGGACTTGTCATGGGTTATCTTGGGTCATGGTGTGTGTTTGTGGTCGGTGCAAACGAGAAAGGCTGCAAAACGTGAAGTCGCCCCCCGCACACACACTTGGAGAGTTCAGTGGATGCAAAGACGCTGCAGCCACCTTCCATTCATCGCTTTAATCCGCTCTAACCAGATCGGAGGGAAGGAGCGGGGTGGGGGTGGGGGGGGGGGGGGGGGGGGGGGGGGGTTGCTCGTCTGCACGAGGAGGATGTTTTGGGGGACGTCTCGGGGAGGACGCGAGGATCGCCCTTCTGCTCCACACTGTGTGTGTCGGGGTTCTCCCCTGTGTTTGTTGGCTGCAGATGAGGATGGAAGCAATGACGTCATATGCTTCACCACAACATACAGTGTGCAGCTCCTTCCGAGGAGATATGTCTCAAATTCGTGCGTCTGTGTGCATTACATGACAATTTAATTAGTGTGTAAATGTGTCGTGACGCGTCTTAATATTCGGTGTAACTGAGATCCAGTGCAAGACCATTCCAGCTCACTTTTAATTGACGCCTGGTTAAAAATAGCTTTAGGATTGTGGTTTCACATTGCAGCGGCACACACTGCATCACACTGTGAGATGTGTTGCAGAATTTTCTCCTTGCCCGTGTGACTAGGAAATTGCTGCTTCGTTGCTATATGAAATTAAAAAAAAAATACTGTAGTGTAGACGAACCCATTGTTTTTATTGTATACAGTACTGTGATTTTTTTCTGTCTCACTTTTGGTTAAATCGTTTGCTGTCACACTGTGTCACGAAGCGAGCAATAATGCCGACGAGTCAACTAATCGTTTTAACCCGAACAATGATTCAAAATTCAGTTAAAAAAAAAAAAAAGCACTTATTTGAATAGTCCAGTTGTAAAAGTGAATCCAGTGTCATTAAACATGTGGGGCACTACTTAACACAAGATCCCTTGCTACCCAATTTCTATCATAAAAATCACTGCATGTTTTCTACGTAGTTCTTTATTGGATGGTTAATGTAAGTTTTCGTTGGCTGAAAGCGCGAATGATCAAAGTTGGACAAAAAATAACCCACAAAAAAAAACATTTCACTCAAAGAGGTTGGTCAACTCATGTCAAGCATACAAGGTTATTGACAGGAAGAACAACACATTGGGCTTTCTTTTGTGATTTTTAATTGTGATATCAGCCCTTTGAGGACCTGAGTCCCCCGGGCTCAACCCCAGGTAACCCCGTTGGTAAAGGCGGGCCTGATTGTGATATGTGAGTTTCATTTTTTTCACTTGAACAGCTGGATTAAATTTCCTTTCAAATTGCCGCACTTCCAGCTTTCATTTGGCCCAAGCGCATTAGCCTGTCCCCAGAATAATGGACGTGACACTTTGTTGATTAATCTGATTCCAATTGAAAAGCATATTTTTTTTTCTGCCCCAGTTCAAAATAAATCTCCGCAAAAACGAGCATATCGGGAAGGCCGTACAAGAGAGTCTCGCAGGTTTCTGCTGCTATTTTTTTTTTATGCTGTGCAGTGATCCCCGCGGCTGTCGTTTTTGTTCTGCGGGCTAGAAATGTTTTTCAGTCCCGCCTCCAAGTCTCCTAAATCTCTTTATTATGCAGGAACAAATCTCAACCCTCTTGGTCGCAGCTTTGAGTTTTATCTGCGTTCACTCCGCATGTCACACATGAGATTTGACTACTTCGGGGGGCCGCTTCGACACACATCGGCAATTTGTGCACTGTACATTTGAGTTTCTCTTGTGACTGTTGGATAAATACCATTAGGCATGCATTTATGCATTCATGTCCTGGTTTTACTCTCTGCCTGAGAGAAAAAAAAACAAAACATATTTTCATCAGAGGGAAATAAGTCTTGTCGTATGCAATATATATTTTTTTCCTCAATTAGACGCCGGAAGGAGACAAATACCATAATCCACCCGTCTCAAAGTGTGGTGTGAAGGCGCCCTCTAGTGTTAAATGCAAGAATTACTGAATGAAATGTTCAAACTGTGAATAATTTCACCGTGGCTTGTACTTTTTTATAAAATCCAACACAGCAGGGGTGCCCAACTCTAGTCCCTGAGCACCCTTGTACAGCCTGTTTCACATGTTTGTCTGATTCAAATGATCAGGAATCGTTATCAGGCTTCTGTAAAACTTGCTGATGAACCGATCATTTGAATCAGATGTGTTGGAGGAGGGAAACATGTAAGCAGGCTGAAAAGGGGCTCTGGCAGACCGGATTTGGGGCCGCCTGCAATACAGTATGTTCATAAAGTATAATTCAGTTGTATTTAACTTTGAAGCACAGCACATCTAAATATCGAACTCTTTTCGAATTAATACTTAATGATTATGTGCGATACATTTCATTTGAATCACTAATATACTATTAAATGTGTCCAAAACTGAAATTATAAAGTGCCTGTTTTTGTCATTAAATCTTTTGATATTTGCCACTAATCTTGGCAGGACATTGAAATGCGTCATTTCATGCCCTTTTTTTTTTCACCCCTCAATAGTGTACATTACGAAATAGGATTTAACTTAATTCCTATGCTACCAGTTTTGATTTGTATGAATGCACGCTATTAGTCACATTGAATCATAGCATTTGCGTGCAAACGTTCTTATTGTCATGTTTTTTTCTTGATCGCTGCATCATGGTCCTTCTACATTCTACATTGGTGTTGATCTGCGCTTAAATGCAATGCCATCCTGTAAATCCTGCTCACAAAGAAACACCAATGAAAACGAAGGTCCACTCACTGATCACGTACAGTCATATTAAATAGACAGGCCTGCAGGGTTCGAGCTTCCCCTCGCCACATTTAGTGCCTTGTTCTCGGGATTACGTAAACACTCCCGAAGCAGACGGCTGAGGTCACATCACAGCGTGTATGTGACAAGTTGGAGCCGGGAGGGAGCCGCCCGGAAACCAGAGGTGAATTCCTGTATTGTGTAGTGCAAAGAGCTTCACAATGTGCTCCTGTGTGTATGTGTGTGTGCATGTGTGCGTGTGTGTCAGCTATCGATTGACACAGCCTGGTAGAGTAGAGGAAGACAGAGTTCCCTATGCCCCTGTCTCCTCCATTCATTAGTATGCTGCTGAGCTGCTGTTGCGCAGTTTTATGTCATCAACAAACTGACTTTAGAACATTCAACGAGAGCGTTTCCTCCCTAGCCCTCCCATATAAAAACGATGTGAATCGGAAAATCTGTTTCATTTAAAAGATGCAGTGCGTGTGTGCGAGTGCGTTGAATCCAACCGAGTTGAGTCGCGCCGGTATAAAGTACAGTAATCCCTCGTTTATCGCTGGGGTTCAGTGAATTCCGTGAAGCAGTCATCTTCATTTTTTTTTTTTTTTTTTACATACAATACTGTACTGAATGAAACCAAAGATTAAACCTTATTTCAGGTCCAACATATTAATATACATATTCGCGTTTCCTGCATCAAGGTGTGTTTGTGCTCACCAGGCCGGAGCCTCGTCCATGTGGGCGTCATGCTGCGGGCTGCTGAACGAGGTGATGGGCACGGGAACGGTGCGGGCTCAGCAGCCCGGCTTCGGGGCCGGGGCCGGGCCTTTCCGCTTCGCCCCGAGCGCGGGGTACTCCACGTACCCGCCACCTAGCTCGGGGAGCGCCGGGCAGTTGTGCAAGGCCTGCGGACTGGCCTTCTCCGTCTTCAGACGTAAGGTAAGCCACGGCGAAGTGAAAGTCCACTTTGTTTTGTGCAACTGTGGAGACAGTGGAACAGTTAAGACTCGTTTATTATGCCAGACCCACTCGTATGTATAAATGCTCCACTCTTCTCAATGTCTTATCTGTGGATTCGTTTTACACAGTGCCCCCTAATGTTCAGACTGAGACACCGAAACACCTTTTGTTACAAGTTACATGTGAGTGAAATGTGCAGCAAGACTGTTTGAAAACCATTGACGTTAGATGTTGAAATCTCACTAATGACAAGTTGTTACTCTCGTTAGGAGGCATGACCAATTCATCTAATTAAAAAAAAAAAAAACAACAACTCAATTTTCCACAATATGTCCCCGTTAATAGAACGTGTGAAGAGTCACAGCCTGGTGATCGTGTGCCCGAAGCATTTGGACCAAAATAAAAATAGCACCTCTCCAGAAAACTTTGTCAACCTTTCCTATCGGTGCCTGTGCAGTCTTTGCAAACGATACCCAAATCATGAAAATCGTATTCTGTCACGCTGACATTTCTGCAGGGACGGTCATGTCAGAGTATAATGGCAGAGTGCATGCGCGTGTGCCAGTCAGACGGGCACGTGTCAGCTTCCTGCTTGCTCTCACCGCAAAACGCACTCGCAGCGATGAGCCCGTTTGTGAGTCAGCGTGATATTTTCAGGCCACCTTTTAATAAGTGTGGAGGGGATTAGCGGGCAAGCGATCGTGGGGCAAGGTGTCGATGATGGTGCGGAAGGAAGTGAGACACATTTGCGCGTGAGTGATAAGCAAATGTTTACCAATTGGGCTGACCTCCTTTCACAGCCATTTCAAGCGTCAATCCACCCAGCTGCTCGGTGTAAAAGTGGATGGCGAGTTGGGTTTTACGATTTTGAAAAACAATCTAACCCCCCCCCCCACCCCCCATGTTGTGATTGCGATTTAATATGCAATGATTTTTTCCAAATATTCACATTCTTGGAAAGAAACATAACAGAAATTCAAATCAGCCGTGGCGGTGGTTCTCCATCAGGTGGACTGCGCGATGACTGACACTTCTGGGTTAAATCCCAACAGTATGTGTGTGTTTACCACTACAAACAGCAGCTGCAATGAGCTCAGCACCGCCTTCGGGGGAAACACTTTGGAGTATCAAAGTTTGCATGGATTCAAGCTTATTTATAAGGAGCCACCAGAGGCGCCATCAACCCTTTAAAATGCCGACAGGAGTCAGACATGCAGGCGTGCAATATTTAAGAGCATTTCATTAAATGATGCTCGAGTGGAATGAAAAAGAATGACAGATGCCATCCCTTTGGTGTGAGTGTGGGGAAACTGCCTGTCAATGCTTTTTTTTCTGTAGTATGCATGTCTCTGACTGAGTATGGCTTTAAAAGGTGGGGCCTGGTCTGGTGAGTGACATGGGTGTCAGTGACACACGTTAAGCAAGACTGATACCAAGAGTTTGTGGGGAAACTGCCTGTCAATGCTTTTTTTTCTGTAATATGCGCGTCTTTGAGTATGGCTTTAAAAGGTGGGGCCTTGTCTGGTGAGTGACATGGGTGTCAGTGACACATGTTATAACTAAGCAAGACTGATACCAAGAGTTGAGGGAGCTGCACTCTCATTTATTGACACCCACGTCAATCACCACTTACATGTACGCCACTAATTACAGCATTAAATCGCATCCAATTACCTCACACGGTGACTAACTGTGTCCTCTCCTCGATAGCACGTGTGCTGCGACTGCAAGAAGAGCTTCTGCGCGCTGTGCTCCGTGCTGCAGGAGAACTTGCGCTGCTGCGCCACCTGCCACTTATTGCGGGGCACCGCCTTCCAGAGGCCACGCCTCATGCAGCTGCGTGTCAAGGACCTGCGGCAGTACCTGCTGCTACGCAACATCCCCACCGACACCTGCAGGGAAAAGGAGGACCTGGTGGAACTGGTTTTGTGCCACCGGGGCACCCGGGAGCCGCCCCGACCTGTGATGGTGGTGCAGGAGGAGGAAGAGGAGGAAGACGAAGAAGAGGAAGTGGATGGAGACACGCCCGAGGAACGGGAGGGACATGATGAAGATGATACAGACAGTCTCCACTCACGTGCCGCCTCGCCGCCCTCCCCCGCCGACTCAACATCCGAACAGTCGCTTGGATCCGCCTCTCAGGGAGTCGTGCTCAGCCCAAGTGACAGCTCAGGGACCCCAAGCCAGGTGACACTGACACACAATTAGAGTACGGTTAAAACAAAAAATAGCGAGCTAGTGTGGCTAGTTATAGTGAGGAGCCAGTCCTCAAAGTTACCTCAACTCCATGGCAGCGCATAAGCAACACTTCTTTCTGACAAATATCGCTATTGCTAAAGGAGGACGAGGAGTAGCGAATCATGTGACACATCGAGAGAGAAGCAAGAACATGAGAAGACGGAGAAGCCATTGCTAACTGCAAAGCTAACATGAAAGGAAGATGAATGAAACGTCCTTAAATTTGGTTTCAAATAAATGTAGAAAGTTTTTTTTAAATTAAAAGCTAGTTTATTTGTAGCTAAGCTAAATTAATGATGACGAAATACTTTTTAAATTAAAAAATCTTTTAATTGTGTTTATTCGAACTACGTTTTAGATTATTAAAAAAAACACGATTTGAAGCAATTATTTTTTGATTGGAAAGAATGTGAATAATTGGTTGACATTTCAACTTCACAAATGGCCCATCTGCCTCTTTTAAAAATCAAATGTGGCCCTTGAGTACAAAAGTTGGCTCAGCCCTGCTCTAGATGCTTGTTGAGCTGAATTCAACAACAATTATGTTGATTTTTCTCTCCACAGCGTGGATTCTGCATTCATGTGACAGCTGCAAGCAGCAGCATTTACACTCTGACTGCCACTGTGTGTGCGCGTGTGCTTGCGTGTGTGCGCGTACGTGCGTGTCTGTGTGTACATGCAGACCAGCGAGCAAGGCGGCTTAAGCCCTTTGCCTTTTTTTAGGTCGCTTACATGGGCTGAGTCAGTTATGTAACGCGCACGCAGGTTGACAACTCCCTGCAGCAACGCAGCTGACACCAAACGCGATGCTGAGCACCATATTAACACTGCATTAAAACACAAAACACACACACACGCACCCACACAACTTCCTGTGCACTTTGCTGGGCATCGTGCTTCTTCCTCTGTTGTTTATAGGACATAAACTATTGTGTGGCAAGAAATTACAAATTCCAGTGGGTTAAATATAATATGCAAGTCATGACATACTGGAAACACACTATACAAAAGGTGCATTAAAAGTGATGCCTTCACAAAGATAATAATGCTAACATTTGCATGACACAGAGTCCCCGATTAAATATGAGGAAAATGCACGCCGCACAAGAATTCAATATTTCATTTGAAACCCAAACTCGAATTTGAAACCCTCATTTGAAACCCAGTTGAAACCCTACTTTGGGGGACCGAAACCTCGTTTAAAACCACACTTTGAAACCCTAACCCTCATTTAAAACCGTACTTTGAAACCCTAACTCTACTTTGACGGTAAGGGTTAGTGGGGAAGATTGACTAATCAGATGGGATTGATTTAATTTTTTTCGACTGCAGTATCATTTTCCACCAATAGATGGTGCTAATACAACGTTCACATTCATTCATTATTTTCACTCGTCAGTACTTTCAAGAAATAAGCAAAACTGTAGTGTCGACATATTTTTTGTGGTCGACTTATCCGACCTAGTCAATTTTATTCTCGCAGCCCTAACCATGAAATACTGAATTTGCCTGATTCATGTTGCACTGAGCTGCCAGTCCCCCTTGCTAGCAAGTGGCGATGATTTCCACATTTCCAACTCCGCGATTATCCGTTTTTGCTTTGCCGTCTCAGGCCCCGCGTTTGCGGTCGGATCACACAAACACAAAAAGCCAAAGAAAAAGCAAAACACCTGAAAAAAAAGTAGCTATGGAGGAGTCTGAGATTATGTGCTGTCTAGCCAACCAATGCATTATTAATACATCGGAGCAGGAATTTGCCTGGACACACACACACACACACACACTGAAGTTGAATCAAGCACTTGCTCGTCTCCTTTTCCACTACGGAACTCTTCATTGATTCCCGTCTCCTTTTATTCCTGACCTCCATCTTCAAAGAAAATCATTAAGCGGCAAGTTAAGTGTCTGCCGTGCGCGCAGTGGAGCGCTTACTCAAATATGACTCTTGTCGTATTAGATAACGGAACAGATGTACTCTCAATATCAGCGCTCGAGTCCTTCTGTGCGATACTGAAAGTCATCGCATAATGAGGTGCATTGTGCGATGATGTCGAGGAGGACTTGGTTCACGGTGAAACATTCACCAAAATTAGAGTTTGGAAATTGATTCTTATGGTGTTCGGATCGAAGGTCAAATTACAACGCAGCGTTGTTCGACTTAATTTCCCCCAACTGTCACTTGTTCCTTACATTGTTGCTCTGTTGTTAGTTTTCCCCTCAGGAGCCCGAGGACACGGCCAGCGTGTCGCTCCTCAATCTGGAGCAGACGGCGAGCCCGACGGAGGCCATCCCGGCCACGCAGAGGAGGGTCCGCGCCTCGCTGTCCGATTTGGACGACGAGGACGCCATTGAGAGGCTGTCGGTTCGCCAGTTGAAGGAAATCCTCGCCAGGAACTTCGTCAACTACTCGGGCTGCTGCGAAAAGTGGGAGCTGCTGGAGCGCGTGCATCGCCTCTACAGAGAAAACGAGCTCAACAGGAAGTCCAGTACGCACCGACTGTTTTCGAAATATTATATTTTACCTCTTGACATTTTTAACGTGACTTTTTTTTTCTCCACTCTTTTGTTCTTTTTAGTGGAAAATGTAAGCATTACTGCAGGTAAGTATTTCCTCACTATCCGATTGTCACAGCACAACTGATTTTTTTTCTTTTTTAACTCTGTCCTATTTTTTTCCCTACAAAGTGGTTGCATATCCTCCACCTTTGTGCAACAGTGCTGTCGGAGGTAAGCTTTTTTTTTCCCTACCTACTCAGAATATTGGTCAATGGGTTAGCCAGTTAACAGCCAGCCAACTCGCTGACACTCACATCACTCACCAGGACAGGCCACGCCTTTGAAAGCCATACACTCAGTCTCAGATATAGTGAGGATGGCAATGCTAAGTGGATAAAAATAATACCTGCACATCACGTTAATTTGCAATTCGTATCAAGTCATATAACTCGAGTCTGTAAGTGTTTTTACGTTATTTGCGGCCCACAGACGGCGTGAAAGCCCAGCTGGCCTCTGACGATAATCTTTGTCGCATCTGCATGGACGCCATCATTGACTGTGTTCTGCTGGAGTGCGGCCACATGGTGACCTGCACCAAATGCGGCAAGAGGATGAACGAGTGCCCCATCTGCAGGCAATACGTAGTGCGGGCCGTGCACGTCTTCAAGTCCTAGAAAAACTCTCGCCGTCAAAGACACTGAAATGGGAGCGAGCGGCTTGGACCGGCGGTTCTTGTGTGACACGGCAGGGGTTCGAGTTGACACGGTCGACTACAACATGTGCAATACTCTTAAAAAAAAAAGGAGACGTGTGTGTGTGTGTGTGACAGATTTGAGAATGTGTGTGTTTTTATTAATATAGAATCTTGGTTCTAGTTTAACAGCACATTTTATGTTAGCAGATGACGTCAAATAACACGCCAATACCCTCATCCTCTTAACTTTGCTTTTCAGAGCCAGCAAGTTTGATGTGATGGTAGAAAGCAGTTTACAGTAAGGGTTTATTTTTGTTTCGAGTCATTACTGGCCAAAAAATAGCAGGACTGCGAATCCGGAACACGCGAGTTTAGTGTAAATTATCGGGTTACCCACAATTTATTTGTCATTTCTTGTTTTGACAAACACTATCAGTTTTCACGTCATCAATTTGATCATAACAGCTGCTGCTCGATGATATCTTCTTCCCACCCTGACAGAGGTCATGGTCTTTTTCACTTCAGTCTGTTGTGCAAAGGAAGTGAGACACTTTCTTTGATATCTGCTCATCCATGTAAACAAAAATATGTATGGAATTGCTGTTACTGTAAATGTGTTGCATATAGATAGCTTCCATTGTTGTTATGAATTAAATGTATATTTTTTCATGGGCTAGACTTGCAGGGGTGGGGAACCTTTCTGACTAAGAGAGCCATGAAAGCAAAATGTTTGGAAATGTATTTCAGTGTTATTTGAGATATATAAGATAAGATAACCTTTATTAGTCCCACACTAGGGAAATTTGCAGTCTACAGCAGCAAGATGGGGGGGGGGGGGAGAATAAAGTGTTTCATTGCACAAAATAAATAATCTATACACACACTTTATTTTAAAAACTGAATTCAACAAAATGTAGTATAATAAGCCTCTGAATGTATTCTTTTAAATAATTCTGTTGCAATACTCACCATTAATGTGAATTTTTCCGTTCCTCACGATTGCTAGCAAAGCTAGCGGAATTATAGTCAGCTTGCCGGGTCCATGCACGGAGTTGCTGCTGGCTAGGTTTCCCCCTGCTCCGGAGCTTGCAGAGCATTTTGATGCTAACGTAGCATGGCGCGTGTCAAAGTGCCGCTTTACATTCGACCGTTTCTTCGATGGTATTTTGTCATTGCGAATTAGACACACCGCAGAACCTGTTCTCTCCACAAAGGCGAATCCTTCGGTCCATTCGTCCCGAAGTGTACCACACTCGTCGTATTTTTTTTGTTTTCGCCATCTGATTCGTCGAAGGATTAGCTTTGTGCTAATAACCGAGCGGGCTGATTCAAAAAAGGGGGCGTTTACCTGTTGACGCAGCAAGGCAAAGTAGGCCAGTATCATCCAATCAAAATTGCTCTTGGAGCCAACCGCAGCCCCGAACAGGAAACGAGCAGTGAAAAATCGATGGATGGGTTAAACAAACGAGGATATTTAGTTTTATCTGCGAGACAGATGCAATCATCAAAAGAGCCACATAAGGTTCGCGAGCCATAAGGTTCCCGACCCCTGGACGAGAGGCAAGGCTCGGAGGTTTATGAACAGAATGTATTTCTGACGGGTTTGTCAAGACCTTGAAAATGTGTCGGTTTGGATTTTTTTCTTTTTTTTTTTTGCTACGCATTCCCCATTCACGTCCGTTATTTCTTTATTTGTTTTAATGCGGGTGTTTGTCAATGGACGATGTCATTCACGGGCAGCTACAGTCTTCTGGAGGGCACTCATAATCCTGGATCTTTATATTTTGGATTGGATGGAACTTTTTATTTTGGTAAACAAAACAAACCAAAAAAAATTATTGGGTTCAATAAAATGCAGTCAAATCTGTTTGACCAAAGTGTTTTTTAAAAGGCCTTTAATAGCTCAAACTTTCCCTATATAAGCTTTAAATGTGTACATTTACATTACATTACAACATTTACAGTCAACATGTATAATACACACGTCCATACAGTGGTTTAACCATACCAAATAACATTTTTTGCTACGCATTCCCCATTCACGTCCGTTATTTCTTTATTTGTTTTAATGCGGGTGTTTGTCAATGGACGATGTCATTCACGGGCAGCTACAGTCTTCTGGAGGGCACTCGTAATCCTGGATCTTTATATTTTGGATTGGATGGAACTTTTTATTTTGGTAAACAAAACAAACCAAAAAAATTATTGGGTTCAATAAAATGCAGTCAAATCTGTTTGACCAAAGTGTTTTTTAAAAGGCCTTTAATAGCTCAAACTTTCCCTATATAAGCTTTAAATGTGTACATTTACATTACATTACAACATTTACAGTCAACATGTATAATACACACGTCCATACAGTGGTTTAACCATACCAAATAACAAATGTAAACATGTAAAGTATTGAACTTTAAAGTAAAAAAGTACAAAATTGGAAATGAACAAAAATCCAGATAGAAAGACATGAAAAGTGCATTAAACTGTACTCACTCATTTTTGCACTGCTTTAACCTCAGTGGGCCCCCAAAATTCGCAAATTGGGAACATATTCCCCATTACTCACACCACCGCCGTCCCCATCGTGGTTTTTACTCATTCCCATGCTTATCTGCTGTTTTGACCCAATCCCCCGTTTAGTCACAACTATGAAGGCGCATTCGTTATTGACAGATTATCACTATTTTTGGTCGGGCTCGTTCCATCCCAGCGAATAGCGGAGGTGCACTATACAATGTTGTCAAAATAGTACATCATTCCAAAGCCTGAACATTGTCAAATATTTCCCAGTTTGACCTCAAAACTTTGCATTTTTCTACCTATGAGTCAAAAATGGGAGAAAAACAAACTTTTACCAACTTTGTGCAGGTTCTTCAAATGGCACCGGATTACAAACAAACAACCAGCAAAAAAATAAAAAAAACAAACAAACTGATAAACAGTCATCTTTCTAACTTTTGGGAATGGGGAACCTAGGAACTACCCGAGCATTAGATAGAAGCTCAGATACTGTATATCAAATATCCCCAGCTCACATGAATCTGAATCATTTTCTTTCTAGACTTTTCTAAAGTGACTGCCTTCAAACTAATGACGGCTTAATTTTGATGAAAGAGCAAGCATCCATGCTGAGCTAATAGTACACTTTCTCCACAAATAACACACGTAATGGAGGAGTGATGACAAGAAGCTTTTAGCTGGGAACAAAGAAAAAAATATATATGTACAGCTCTGGAGGGGGACGAAAAACAAATCAAGAGACCTTTAAGAGACTTAAATGCTCTAAATGACAATATTTATGATTGAATTTTATTTTTTATAAAACAAAGCAAAAAATGTTAACTTGACTCATCCAGTGAATAAAAAAAGTCTACACACCCTTGTTCAAATGGCAGCTTTTGGTGATAGGGGGGGAAAAAAACCCTGCCATTTTAGGCTCTGAGACATTTAGACTGACTATTTTGAACTGTCGCTAATTCCCCACAAAATCGACTAAGACAGAAGAAGACTGAAGAAAAACAGCACCAAAGCATGCCGCCGTGCTTTGTTAGAACAGAATAATTCTTCTAATAAAAAGAAAAAAAAAAGCCTATTAGAACTTCTGAAATGCATTTTGTGGTTTTGGTGAGAGGCACTTTAAAAAGCGGCGGATATGTGCTGACTCACGTTTAACAAGAATTTAAAAGTGATTGGTTAATTTTGAACACGGTGTGCACACTCAGTTGCCCTCTCGAAAAGTGACATCATTCTAAAGCTTGTTTTAACCATCGATGGGACAGCCTGTACATTTCAATTGATTCTGTTTTGTCTCACAAAAACCTGGCATTTGTAGAGAGATGTGTAGACTTTTAATCCACACTATACCTATAATCTTGCAGTCGTCTCACTCTTTTTCCATAGCTGCATTTAACTACAAGTGCATGTCAATAAATTGGAATAAGGTAGAAATCTTAAATGGTCGGGCCGTAGATTTAAATGCATTTTGGACTTATGCTCCCCCCCAAAAAAATGTGGAAAACTTCACACTTTCTGGATGTAACTTGTAACTTTTATGAAACTGAGTACAGTTTCATAAAAGTTACATTTTCAATTGAACTAGTGTAATGACAAAGTTTTCTATCATATTCTGGTTTATTGAGATGTACCTGTATATATAAATACAGTTTACAGTCTCAGGATTTGTGTAATAGGTGCAAAAAAAACGTCAGCGATACGCACATTACGATAAAACTAATGTGCTTCAATAAATATGAAACAGAAAAATAAAAACAATAACACTGTGTATTGATTATCAATATCAGTAGTATAATACTGTATATGAATGTAGGAAACACTTTCTGCTACAAAAATAGTCACTCTCGAACAGAAAACAAAAAAAAAAAAAAAAAAACAGAAGAAATAAATAACAAAAACGTTCGACAGTTCCAGTCAGAAGTTTAGAGATGCTTCCTTGTGCTATTGAATTGGAAGGTGTGTCTAAACTTTTGGCAAGTACTGTACCATTTTTACATTCTGGCTCAGTAGTTTGGCAAGAGGAGACAACACACAGTGCTGCTCTCCTCTTCTTCCTCCTCCTCCTCCTCCGGTGGTGGTGTGGCGCCCCCGTGTGGAGCAGCGCGTTAATCGCGGCCTGCGCCGGCAACGGCGGGTTGGATCCTCTGCAGCAGTTTGTCGTCGATCAGTTCAAACTGAACGCTGACCGACATCTCGGCCACGAAGCGCTGGCAGCCCTCCCTGCTCACCTGCTTGCAGAAGCGCAGGTCGATGCGGCGAATGCTGCCGCAGCGCTTGAAGTAGGTGAGCGATTGGTCCGTCACCCTGTTGCACACTGGCGGGGCAAAAATGGCGTGGGTTAGCAGAAGATATTCATTATAGATATTTCTTTTTGTAATTAGTAGGTTGATTCGTCAGTATCGGTATTTTACACCAGACAGGGCTTTGGCTTTGTGTTTCAGTTTTTCAGCCACGAACAGGATCACACCTGAGAGGTTGACGTCAGTCAGGGAGTCTCGAGTGGTGGTCCCTGCTGCCGTCAGGATATTGACGGACTGGTCGGTGACGTGGTTGCAGTAGCTGAGGTCCAGCTTGGACAGCGCGGCCATGTGGCGAATGATGAGGCGCAGCGTGGAGTCCGTGATGTCCAGGCCGGCCAGACGGAGGTCCTCGACGTTGCGCAGCTTGCTGCGGTTGTCCAGCTGGCCTGTAGGGGGCGATACCCGGCGGATGGGGCGTCGATGATGCATCAAAATCTCATGAGAGCGAATATAAAAGTACGAAGGGATGAACAATTGGCACCTGGCCTGTTATCGGTAGTGGGGGAGAGCAGGTCCCTCATCTGGGCGTCTTTCAGTCCCTCCACCCACTGAACGTCCAGCGTTCGAAGGAGAGGACAGCAGGAGGTGCAGAGAGCGGAGACGGCCACCCATGAGCACCCGGACAACAGCAGAACTCGCAAACCTGTGCGGAGAACGTCAGAAATGACATGAGTTCATGTGGTGACCGTTTTTAGACAAGGTTTTGAAATCAGGTTCATCAAGCAAATATAAATTCTCTTCCTAAAAAAAAAGCTCAAGTTATGCTCGACAGTCTCTCTTTTTTTTTAGTCGGTAAAATGATGGGGTTTAAGTCTGGAGATCAAAAAAATTAGGTTTTCAGAACTGCCAACCTAGAGGAATGT